TGTATATGGTTTTTGTTTGTAGCAACAGTATGACTGGGATATAAAAGACCATATAGAAGTGGAGAGGCTCTTTACCGAGAGAGTGAAGCTTCGACTTATGGGCACCGTTTCTGATTGGAAGAAAGCGTGGAAAGTCATTGGCGATGACGCAAAGCCTATTAGCATGGAAAATGAGGTATGTAAGGGTTTGGTGCGATACTGGTAGATTCCGCACTCGATCACTATTGCGGAGAAGTGTTCCAATTCCTGCAATGCAATTGGTCGAGCCGGCAAGAAGGCGGCTTTTTCTCATACAGGTGGTCAAACACCATTTGCGGGTGTTCAACTTTAGATGGTATGAAAATTTTATTTATATACTCTTCATATAATTAATATATGGTTTCTAAAAAAATATTTTAACAACATTTTTTTGTAGGCGGCCGAGACTGGAGGTGAACTCCCTCAAATGACACAGGTTTTTGAGAAGTGTCACCGAAAAAAGAGTGGTGCCTTTGTTTCAGAGAGAGCCGAGGAGATCTTCAATGAAGTTACTTCAAAGGTTGCTGAGCGACAGACCCAGCTATCTCCTGGAGGTTCTTTAGTTCAATCTGGAGGGTTGACTACTCGTGATATCAATCAAATTTTTGAGGAGGTATATATTTAATAAATAAAATTAATATTCATTTAATTTTTGATATTTTTAATTTCTAATAAAGTTTAATTTAAAACGTAGGTTGCCCCGAAGAAAAAAGAAAAAGTTTTAGGGATAGGATCTATTCGAGACGTGCCGACTGCTTCGTCATCTGCACCATGCCGACAAGGACCAGAAGATGATCCAGTCGTTCTACGAGGCAAGATTGCGACTTTAGAAGAGTTTCAAACCGCATATCACCAGGAAGTTCAGGAGGAGCTTTCAGAGTACGACTCTATCTTCGATATTATTGCCCTCCAAATCCCAGATGTTGCGGCTGTCTTGCGAGCAAAATGGTAAAAGTGTGCAGCAGAAAAGGCGGCGAATGACAGCACAGAAAACGGCGACACAAGAAGCGGGTGCGCAAGGAGCGGATACTCAAGAAGCGAATACTCAAGGAGTGGGTACTCAAAAAGCATCCACAAGTGGTGGAGAGGCAAGAGATCAATCGCAGGCTCCGGTTACCGATCTTGCAGATTATTTTGGGGATTTCGAACTTTGTTACGATAATTAGGATATGATTTTATTTTGTTGTAATAAAAATAATTTGTTTTTTTTCAATTAAAAGAATTTTATTTTTTATATTTATTTTAAAATTAATATTTATTTTATTTTTAATTATGTAATTTGCAATATTAAAATAATTTAATTATAATAAATTATTGTTGTAAATTACATCGAATTACCGACGAATAGTTTACAACAAATTAACGACGCTTTAAAATAACGACGATTTACCGACGAATTGTTAATTTCGAATTGCCAACAAATTAACGACAAATTCTTATTCGTCGTAAAATCGTTGTTAAGTTTACATCGAACTTACGACAAAATTTTCCCAATGATTTTACGACGATTTCTTATTTTTCGTAGATTTGTCGACGAAATTTACGACGATTTAGCTTTTACGACGATCAATTCACGACTAATTATGATTCGTCGTTAAATCGATGAAAACCCTGTTTAACAATGATTTAGCGATGATTAAGATCGTTATTAAACAGGTTTTTTCTTATAGTGAATGAGTTTTATAACGGAATATAAATGATAATTACATATATCTACTACCAATTAGTTTTGAATTTTAAATTTATTATTTATAAAAATATAGTATCAGAACGTGTTTGATCTTATAGGCTGCTTCTATCTCTAGTGATATTTTCTGGAATGTTTTTTTTCCCCTGCCTAGAATGTAAATATCATAAAAATGAAATAAATGTTTAGGTTTTACATAATGTTAACCTATAAAATTGGTCACATGACCAAAAAAAAAAGCAAAACCAAGTCAATTTGATCCATCGACAAGACCTGTTAAATTCAGTCCATCGACTTAACAATAATGGATTGTTTTTTTTTTTTTGAACATGTGTAATAATGGATTGTTCACATCTTCATTTCGAAGGAACTATAAAATTCAACCTAACATCTTGTTAGTGAAATGAGCTCTACATAAAAGATATAGACTACTTCACTTACTGCCAATTGCCAACTACCATTTAGTTGATAACACATGAACTTTAATTCTATGTTAAATTCCAAGTTCGAGATATGTTCCCCATCTTGGATAGAAAATCGGTTTGAAATATAACGATAAGAATTAGTACCAATCTCGCATACATTTTGCTAACAAATTAACGAAGCCGTAATAGTTATATATGATCAACCTAACGAACTTGGTTTATTCTAATAAATTTTTATTAGACTTACTAACGAAAATTTCAGAAACGCCCAAAATACGGAACTCCGTAACATTTTTGTATGGGACTGCTATGAAATCACCTTAATAACACTATTTAATTCTTCCAAAAGCAAACAAATTTTTCAAACATAGGGAGAAAAACACTTACCATTTTGATGTGTACAAACACTAAATGGACCTAACAAAGAAAGTGGGGCTATTGGGGTTATATCAAAATTAAATTTAGCTTAGCAGTTTTTAAATCGAAAGACCTAACCTATGCTTTGTGCTGAACTTGAATTAGAAACTGTTTCTTATACTATTACTCATGTCTCTCAATCTATTTTCAACTCGATTTTTTACTAAAGGTAATTTCAAATAAGTATATCTATCTACAAATTTGCGTTTGAGTAGGCATGTCGATTTCAAACGTAGGGAGAAACACTCAAGTAATTATAGTCTCTTCTTTCTTTCTTTCTTTCTAACACACTCTAGTATAGTCTGAATTCATCTTTATAGGTACATATATATAGTCCGGACCAATCTATCAATAATTCAGTTCAGTTATTTAAATAAACCAAACGAAACAAGTCTTTGAACGGTGGTAAGAACAAAGATTACAATCGAAACAATGAAAACAGAACTTTTTAGTTGGAATTCTGTTCAATTCAGAATTTTTTTTTTTTTTTTTTGTTAAAAAGGTGTTAGAGAATTTCACATCATTTTAAGTAATCTCATAAACAGATCTTTATCTTCACACCATTTAGTTGGTGTCATACATTTTATTAATAAAATATTCAAGGTTTAAGCTAAATGCTGGTTATTGTCACCTAAATTTGGCAAGAATCTCAAACTAAGAAAATTGATCAAAAATAGTTTGAGTATAAGGTAAATTCCGGTTAGGTGCAACGAAAGGTAAATCCCAACCTTACATCTTATTATTTTTTACTTGCTCCAGCTTTGTAATAAAACAAACTATTCAAACCTATTTGTACAAGTTTGATCATAATTACCTTCCATGAAACTGAAGCATTATATAATCACAATATGTAATGGTTTTGTTTTGTACAAGCACATTTAAATTTGAAAATCTAGTCATTTATGAGAAAACATGGTGGGCCATTTCTTTTCACGTCTACATATGTCCATCATTTACAAAAAAAAATCGTACTTAATTAAATCCTATGGTGAAACTTTTTTTTTATATATACATAGCTTTACGAAGGTTGAGTGAAATTCTTTTATCAATATATATATATATACATCAAATATCAAATATGTTCATAATTCTAATCTTAAGAGTCGACTAATTGTTATCTTGTAGTTCACAATGTCTGCCCAACTATTTAATAAGAATTAGGAGTTCTCATACGAAAGTTAAGATTACCCAGTAATTGTCCTCTACTATCCTTTAATAATAGAGTTTTTATAATTAGAATGTAGGAGTTCCTGCTAAAAAAAGGTATAAAATTAGAATACTTAAACAAACAAAATATAAAGAAAAAGTTACTACGTTCGGTTACCTGTATGGCTGTATATATAGTTTTTTTTTTTGAAAAATAGAGTATATCATTGTTTAGGACATTTCTGATTTAGTCTGATAAAGAAGAAAGTTTAAAATTATCAAAAGTAATGGCTTATTATTTGTCTTCGTTTCGATAATGTTTCTTAATGGCTAAATTGTTACGTTACAACATAAAAATATAATTAATAAGTGGTGCACATGGTATATGGCAGTTAGGGCCATAACCTCAGCTTCTGTAAAGCTTTGTCCCCACCAAAGAATACGGAAAGATATTTGTGACTTGACAAAATGTGTAAAATAATAGTACAAACAGTATTAATTAATTGCTTAAATAATTGTAACAAACCCGTATGGAGATACCTATATCCTAATCTCAATTATTTAAATATATTTTATATTGTGAGAGCCGACATTTCAATACTCATCCCTACGTTTCCCCAAATGGAAAGTATTCCTAAATTATTCATCAACTCAATGATTAGTATTAGTGCCACGCCTTAAACTCTATTTAGAATAGGATCTTATCAAATATTGTATTCCACGATGTGATATATAATCATAGTTAGATGTCACTCTAGACCTAACTTTGGTATGAATTGACAAAATTTATCTTAAGTAAAAAAGGTATATGCTTGTTTGTACTTGATAGATGGGAATAATTAAAACTAAGCATATATACCAAAAATGGGTTATCGGAATCAATCCATGAGAATGACATATTAAAGAGGAAATTGGTGCTAACAAATTATTATCAAACAAAAATGATGGCTAATCATTTGAAACAGACTAAATTACGTATTGTATATTTTTTCTAATATAAAGTGGGATCTAAGTACACCTACATCTTAGTTTGGTCGCAAATAATTTAGGAAAAGTACTTCTAAAGAAAAAAAATTAATAATATTTCAACTTGTTATCAATATCTTTTTAATTAACTAGTTTATTAATGTTTGGGAAAATCATTAATCATTTGACTTTCTATCTTTATGTTTCTTCATTCGAAACAAGATCACCACATAAATAAGAGAATCAATTATTGGAAGTTAATCACACATTTCAGGGTTCATTTATTGAAAGCATGAACTAATCTACAAATTACTAATTTTAAACAAATCATTAATCCCCCACATGACATTTTTGGAACAAATTAAATGATATTAATCCTCATTGAGCAAGACATCATCGTGGTAAGGAGCATGTAATTAAAAACTGAAACCTAAAAATTAATAATACAAAAACAAACAAACACAAAAAGCTAAAGATAATTAATACTATTAATAGAAAGTTATTAACGATGATAATACGAGTGGCTTACTCTAAAAGCTAAAAGCTTAAGCTTCCTTATTGAATCTGAATCTCATCTTTAACCTCACGAAGACGACGATCCATTGACGTTACCACCGTGACCTCCTCCTCCGCCGCCACCGCCGCCACTATCACTATCAAATCCGCCGCCGCCACTACTAACACTCTGGTGAAACTCGTTGTTATTAGTTTCGCCGGCGGGAATCGGAGCGTGGTTTCCTCCTCCGCCGCCATTATCGATTTTGGCGACGGCGGCTCCGGCGACGGAGAACGGAAGATCGCGGCGGTTAAAGGTGTTTTTGTTGTTGTGCATCCAGACTTTGAGAACGCTCTTGTCGACTCCGATCTGACGGCAGAAATCACGAACGTCGTCTTCGTCGCGTTTCTGCATCTTCCAGCCGACTCGATCGGCGAACTCGTGCATCTTCTCTTTCTGAAATTGGCTGAATTTCGTTCGGAATCGCTTACGAGATCCGATTTGGTGGCCGGAGAAATTGAGATCGGCGAAAGATAGGTTGTTGTTGTTGTTGCCGGAGAGTGATAGGAGCATGTAAGAGGAAGAAATCGGCGGAGGAGAAGCTGAATTAGGGCTACGTGGAGGAGGAGGAGGAGCTGATTGTGGTGGTTGTGGTGGTGGTGGTGGATGGTGACGGTGGTGAGGTTGATACTCAATTGCGGCGGCGACGGAGGAAGGAGGAGGGATTGAGGAGGAATCGTTGTCTGGTTCACGGCGGTGGAAATTACGGTGGCAACCGCAAGCGGCGCATTTGAGAGAAGTTGGATCGGTGGAGATTGACGACGGAGACGGCATGAATTCGCCGCAACCGTCGAGCGCGTGGCCGCCTAACGCCGCCGCGTGGTTTTTGAGACATTCTTTGTAGGTGAAGAGGAGAGGATGGTGGTGGCGTTTGATGATGCCGTTGCTGAAGGAAATGGGTTTCGCCGGTTGGATCCGGGTCGGAGTTTCGGACTCGGGTTCCGGTGATTTTGGAATTGTTGTTGTTGTTGTTGTAAGAGTCATATCCATAGCTCTCAAAACATCAATAATCTTCCCAAACAAAAAAAAAATTAGCAAAAACGATGAAATAAAGAAAACTTAGGGTTTGGGTTTTAAATATGGTGTGAGTTTCAGAGAGAGTGAATAGAAAACTGAAGAAGAAGGAAAAAGGTTCTTGAGCTTTTTGGAGATTATAATTAATATTTAGTTGATTTTTTACTCGATTTGATTCGTTTTTTTTTCCTTTTCTTAACTCTTGGAGGAAGAGGAGGAAAAAGAAGAAAATGATATGATGAGTATGACGACTGTTGCTGGAGCAAATAAAGAAATTAAAAAAGGGACAAATATTTAAATTACTGACTTTTATATTTGCGAGTTATTAAATTAATAATTACAATGAGCAAAATAAATTGAAATAATAGGGGTTGGATTCTGAGGATATTTAAAGCTCAAAGGAGGAGGGTTGATGTTTTTTTAACCATGGTTAAGTGTGGAGAGTTTAAGTGAGGTGGTGTGGGGTCTACAAAGAGAGTGCGTGTTAGATTTTGCGGTGAAAAGCGTAATAAATGACTAAATGTAGCTAACTGAGTTTGTGTCTGAAAATCTGAAATGCTGAAGTCAAATTAAAAAATAAAATAGTAAAAAAGTTTTCAATGGTACGGGCTTGGCAAAAAAAAAAGTTAATGGTAATGGTTGAATTATTTTCTGTTGCAATGCGACATTTTTTGTTTGAGAGGAAAAAAAAACTGTTTTCGTTTATTTTACTTGTATTCAGGGAAAAAGATAAAAATATATTGTCATTTCTCCAGTACGTTACTTACAACACAGATACAAACAACATTAAATAAATATTCATGACATGTTAGTGCTTTGGTAGCTTCTAATGATACAAAAAATATACATAAGTTGATATACAATTTAATGGAAGATTTTGATATGAAGGAGAAACGATTAAGGTTCTCTCGTCTACAAGCTAAAGAGAAAAAAAAAAACAAAAAACAAAAAGAGACATCTCGAAAGAGAATGTGTCAAGGTGCAGAGTAGTTATCGAGGGGAAATCGAAGTCGGAGCAGACACAGGAAAAGAAAGACGATGATATCAAAATCGTGTTGAGGTAAACAAAAATATACAGAATTTTCGAGGTTGACCAAATCCATAATGAAGGTGGAGGTTGTAAGTCCAAATGATTTTTCGGGTCAACCATGTTTTCTCAGGTTTTGGGTTTCGTTATGTTCAGTTTTGGATTAATGGCTTTATGCATTTAGCAAAAAGAGAGAAAGAAATAGTTTGGGCTGAGTCAAATTTCTAAGCCCACACAAAAAGGAACATGAGAATAAAGTTGTTACAAAACAGATGACTAGTGATACTAGTGATAGAAGCTTTAACAACAAAAGAACTGGATAAACTGATGAGATTAAGAGCATAACTTATGAGATATATAGATTTATATAGAGATGGAAACCTAAGTTTTCTAATCGTTTACCGGATCACCTAATCGTCATCACCATGTTTAAGCAAAACCGGTGAAATAAATTTATTCATTGTTATAGTTTTTGGCCATCATCAGCTTAAACATCGTCACCGAAGGAACCCATCATGTATTCATATCACTCGTAACAGATATCTCCAAGACAAGAGTGGAAGAAAAACGAAAGATTTAAAGCAATCATTGGTTATTTTCAAGAGAAAATATATTATAGAAATTAAATGCTCACGTCTCTTTACTGTTTCTCTTTTTTGGTTGAAATCAATAAAATAAATAGAATAAAAATCGAGTATGTACAACTGATCAAAATTAGAAAACAAAAATTGCGAGTGCAAATTCTAGAAGTAGCTCATAATTGCAAGATCGATAAATGTAGTGAGAAGTTTGTATCAAAAGGCTCGCGATTGCGAGTGCTTTGACTTACATGAGACGAGATTTTGCAAAAGGGAACTCTTGAAATCAACTGGTGTTGTCGAAGTTTTCTTTTTCAGTCCAAGATTCTTCGTAAAGGTTCATAAGAACTCACAAATTATTTTCTAACTTTTCTTAAATATCATTTTCTAACTTTAATATGTATCTTCTAACTCTTTAAAATAAAAGAGAGACAGACAAGGAATAATGTATTATGAACATCAGTTGAATAATAATAGTACATTAAGTAATGGTATAATTATTGTACTGAATTTATAATTTCATAAGAAAGAAAACTATTTAATTCAAAAGTAATTACATGTTCGTGAGCCATAATCATATTGAGTACAATGCCTTCATGTGCAGTATATTGCTAGCTTCCACTTCCAGTATATTTTTACTATGCCTTATTTTGCACTTGTTATGGACTACCTCGTTGGTTTCTTTTAATTATCTCTCGAGTTTCAATGCCAGCATTAATGGGTGAACATATAGATGCACCTAAACGGAGAAGCCTCTTGCTTCTCTGTGGGTGTGCCAAAGTGTCGTTTGTTTCTATGAGTAACGGTGACGCGTTGGTCTATATTATATGGCTCTGATGACTCCTTTTCTTCTGATGGATTTGTATATCCTTCACTTGGGGCACTTCATAAACTTTTCTACTAGGTTAGTTCAATAATCTACTTTCTTCAATTAATTTAATTACTAAATCATCACACTTATTTCACCACCATAAGTATTATCGTTAAACTAAGCATACAAAAGATTCAGATGGCAATAATCTCCAAAAGAGTTATAACACAATAATAAAATCCACATAATAACTCAAATCTTACAATAACACATGACAACCATTATTTTCGTGATCTCCATACGTATCACTCTCTAGGCTTTATTTATTCAGAATTTAGAAATCAATGCGAGATATAGAACATACTCAACACAAGATCCGTTCAAGACGATGGTGCATTCGCTAGATTTTCGTGTAGGATTTTAGTGTAGTCGTCTATTCCCTTTCCCTGAGGATTCTTGTTTAATTCGATGATTTTTTTGAAAGTCTCCATGAATTTCGGCATGTGTAGTTGTTTCCACTCCTAAACAAACAAACAAAATCAAAACACGCGAATCAGACCAAATGGATTCCTTTTTTTTGGTCATTTTAAAAGAGTTAACAAAATAAATACTATTTAATCAAACCTCAAAGTCCCATTCTCCACATATATTAGGATCATCTTTGTTGATCCATATATATGTTTTCACTGTCATCTTCTCAAAATTGTCCTGTATATCAGTATATGCAAATACAATAAATTTAAGAATCTAATCTCATCAAGAGTCTAAGAGACTCAACAGTGACGTGCTTAGATTCATTGAGGCTTTAGGCAAATCTGAAAAATGTGGCCTTTATTTTTATAAATATTAAAAAATAATATTGTCATTAAACACACAATAATACCATTTTAACATATTTTTTATTTTCTATTATATATTATTATAATATTTGTTAATATATGTGGATCCATATCTATAAAAATGAAAGATATCAATAACAATACTATTGTTATATATAGGATTTTCAGAGGAATATCCTAACCATATTTACCAAATTAAATATAAAAAAGTTTAGCCAAAAAAAAATGTGGCCTTTTTATTTCTTTAATTCTGGTGTGGTTTTAGGCAAGTACCTAATTTCTAACACTATAGGCACGGCTCTGAGACTCAAGACCATCCAAAATGTTCAAATTTAGAACTGATACTTTAAGCTTACCTTCCTCACAACTCCAACTACCACTCTCTCATATTCATTACCCTCTACTGCGTCTAGACTCGCAAGTTCTTCATTGGTTAATCCCATAAGCACCTACACAAATTCACCAAAATTTCTCAAAATCTAGGACCACAAAAATAAAGTAAGCTGAATTTGACAAAAAATATTTTAAGAAACCAAACCTTTCCATGTACTTCTCCTGCCTCAGACGGCACAATACATGGATACAAACGTCCTTTAAGCCTAAACCTTTTACTGAAAAAAATCCAAATATTGCCATCGAATCTTAGATCTATACCAAAAGATTAACCAATCAAGAAAGAGATCGAGAGATTGAGAGAGATACGTACAAGCCAGGGAGTGTCACAGAGAGGATTTCAGGGGTACGATCAAGCATGATTTTGACGATGTCAGGCTCTTGAAAGCTACCATAGACGAAGACATTGTGAAGCTGAGCATCGGAGCTACTCATTTTTTTTCTTTTCTTTCACTTCTTCGTTTTTTATTCTGCTTCTATGTTCTTTCTTTATCTAAATTCGACTTTATAACGTGAAGCTGAGTAATGAGTATCCCAAAGGAATACGAAACCGATGAAGCACGTGGAAATAATATTCAAATAAAAAAACAAGAATATAAAATACCTGATATTTTTATAGAAAGTTTGATATTATGTGACTCAATTCATGTTGTTCCAAAAATTAAATAATTTCGTACTTCTTAACATTTTATCTTTATAATATAATGATGCTACTATTACGATTTATCAAATAATTTTAACAATAAAGGACGTACACAAATTAGAGGACAGAAAGAAACAGAAAAAGATAAGATAAATTATGTGTTCAGAGAAAAAAAAAGAATAAAAGATCACGTTTACTTGCTAAAAGGAGCACGTGAGTTTGTGATTTTTTGGTGGGAATCGGTTGTTGGATCCATACTCCATATTACAATCACTCGTTCAAAACTACACAAGTAACAAAATCGTTGTTTTACTGTAAAAGATATGAAAAATTTATCTGGTGTTAGTAGATAAACTGTGTATTAAAGAAAAAAACTCTTTCAAAATCAATAGTTCAAAAACCGACGAGGGAAAGATAACTAATTAACTTGCTTGGTTATATATCTTAAGAGATTATGGTTAATGTCTGTATTTAAAGCATGAAAAATTCTTAAGTAAGAAAAAATATATAAACTAAGAACTTTTTTTGTTCGTCTATATAACATGGCCTCGTTTATGATTGAGTCGGCCTGCTATATCCACTTATAAAGGGTAGGTGATTGTAATGCCTCTTTGTATATTATGTCATAAGATCAAAACATTTTTTGTAATCGTTTTCTATTTCTGATATGAAATTCTACAGCTTAAAGAAGATTAACAAAAATACAGTAAACATCGAAATATTAGATGATTACTGTCAGCAACAATGTTGTTTTTTTCTTTCTTGTTTTCTTTTGTCATCTAGGGATCTCATTGATATTTTTAAGCCATTTGTTATACAAAGCAGACAAAGGTCAAAATCTTTTCCAGACAGCCAACGAAAAACAAAATCTCTCCAAAAAACTAAATTTCTTTGGAGAAAAATCCATAAGAAAGAGAGATAACTGAAAGCTAATACAGTAAACACAAAGGCCTAACACTAAGGCAAAATAGGAAGCTAACACTTTTAGATGATCATTGCAAACTCGAAAAAGAATGACCAAACTAACAATTAACTAACTGAAAAATAAGTCTAGCATAAATCACAAAAGCAAAAACATAAAGGAAAAAATGTATCTCTATTAACCCTTATCCCGAAACTTTTCTACGAATTACACACGAGACCAGTAAAGTCACGAGTTCAATCCAATTAACCAAAACTTCTGCAAGATCCTCAAACACGTTAGATCCCAAAGCTTGAAGCAACAATGTTTTAATCACAATTTTTTTTTTTTAAATATCCAATATTGGTCCACCCAAAAGCCTTCCATCCAAGAGCAAATTTTCACTTAGAATCGTCTACTAGGTGGAAATTTAAAACTGGGCCTAGCTTTCAAAAGTAAAATACATAAATGAACGTTTTTCTGAGAAAGAGATCGCAAGTTTGGAACCAAATAAACGTATGGACTATGGAGACTAGAGAGTAGAGACATAAGGTGAAGTTAAGTATCCCCTTTATGGGTTTCTTCAGGTTTACTTTTCCGACGTGTTGGCCGGAATATTATGAACTCTTTCTAATTGTCTTTATCTACCAATTTCATTTCACCTTTCTCTATGTTCTATGCCATTTGTGATTTCATCTCTAACCATCGCTTAATTACCACACCACACCACACCAAAAGAATGCTTCAAAACCCAATAATTTTTTTTTAATTATCACATTTTCCACTTACATTGTACTTTTCTTCTGTTTTACTTCTTGCATACTTCAAGAACCGATAACCTTAATTTTTATAACCAGAAGATCTCAAACAGAAATATATACTGGCTAATTATTAAAAAATTGCAACTAGTATATGTATACTTGTACAACGTATTATTTAAGAGACTTACAAACCACATAATAAAATAACTCAATATCTTACACAATAACATATGATGACATAACCATTCTTTTTCATTAATTTCCACAATACCTATACTCTCGATTTAGGCTTGCTTTTATTTAGTTAGCAAACTAGAAACAAAAGGTGACTGATATATAGAACATACTCAACACACTACCCAATACCCATTCAAGACTGTGGAACATCTTAACGTAGGACATGGTTGAATTTATCTCTACCTTCTGTCTGAGGGTTCCTCTTCCATTCCATGATTTCTTTGAACGTCTCTATGAATTTTTTCTTGTGTACTCTTTTCCATTCCTAACAAAACCAAAATCCAAAAACACACAATGATCAAAACACGTGAAAATCGAACACAATTCTTATTCATGATGAGTTTACAACATTCATGGCCAAACCTCGAAATCCCATTCTCCATTGATATCAGGATCAGTCTTATTGATCCATATGTATGTTTTCACAGGCATCTTCTCCGAATTGTCCTGTACAAGCAAAACAAAACAAAACTCAAATCTCATGAGAATGTTGTTTTTGGGAGTTGAAATAATCAAATCTTCACAAACTTTACCTCTCTTACAATCCCAACTGTCACTCTTTCATATTCATTACCCTCAACAAAATCTAAATTCTCAAGTTCTGCATCCGTTAATCCCATTAGTACCTGCACCATAATTCACCAAAAATACTCAAAATCTAAACCTTAAATAAAAATCCTCAATTTACTATCAAATGAAAAAAAAAGTAGCTGAATTTCACAAAGAATTATATAAAAAAAAATAAAATCAAACCTTTCCATGGACTTCTCCTTTCTCAGAGGGTAAAATGCATGGATACAAACGTCCTTGAAGCCTAAACCTCTGACTGAAAAAAACCCAAAAATCACCATCAAATCTTAGATCTATACAGAGAGATGATTAAATCAATCGAGATATCAAAAGAGAAAGAAGACGTACAAGCCAGGGAGTGTTACAGAGATGATCTCAGGAATACGATCAAGCATGATTTCGACGACGTCAGGCTCCTGAAAGCTACCATAAACGAAGACGTTGTGAAGCGGAGCGCTACTCATTTTTTTTTTTTATCGTCTCTGTATTTTTTTGTGTGGCTTCTATGTTGTTTCTGTACGAGAGTCTTGACTTTATAACCTGAGGATGAGAGAATCTTGAATGGATCACGAACCGGTAAAAGTCCTTCGTCTTTGGTTTTTTATTTTTTTGTCCAAATTTTTCGGCAATTAATATTTCTAATTAAAATTGTTATTCAAATAACAACCTGTCATATAAATCCGTTACGGATACATTCAGATGTGAATGGGTCATATATTGACTAAAGTCTAATTAAAATTGGTCTTTGTTTGAAGTGATTTTTATGCGGTTGTGAGTCAAACAAAATACTTTTATTTTTGTGTCGACCAAACAAAATACTTAAGATATTAAATTGGGCATTACAATAAGGGATATTTTACTGTCTTTTTGTTTGTTTTCATTCTTTACAATAACAATGACCCAAAGAATTGTCATTGTTAATGGACCGAAATGGATTTGATAGCACTAAAGTTATCATTTCGAAAGAAGGTATTAATTTTTTTTATAAAAACTAAAAATACTTAAATAATATATAAAATAATATAATTCAATCTATTTATGCTAGTTAATCTTGAATTGAAAACTTCTAATACTTAACTGCACGAATAAAATCATTGATATTATATTTCCATGATATACGTAAATGATAAAATTTAAAGAGAAATACCAAAAAATACTTTATTGAATCTTATTTTGTTACTCTGAAAACTCAACCATTTGCATTCTATATAGTATTGGAACGAATCCTCTTGTTTATTTTCATCTTGTTTACACCAGATGAAATAAAGTTGTTAGTTTCTCATTAATTATATTACTCTGTAAATATATATGTGAGTGTATTATATACATGTATTCTTCTTCTCTATACTATATAAAAGTATATGTATATGTTCTATATACAATCAATATACTCAATATATTAGTCTACCATAGTTTGTCATTGGAATATAATTATTTCATGTTTTTAAGGTAAGAGATCTTCTCTTCTTTTAATAAATAAGTCTAGTACAACATGTTCTGGCTGCTTAGTCCAACTACTATATTATATTTGCCGACAAAACACAAAATATATGATTAATTTGATGAGATTTAGTGATTTACAGCGAGTTCTGGCTGCCAATTGGTAGATGATAACTGGCTTTCGATGGTGGCTCCTTTTAAGTCTTTAAGTACACGATTAATACCGATACGCATTATTGACGAAGAATTGCCCGAATTTACCTTTTTATTAAAGTCATATTATATACAGCAAATTTGGACAAACAGACTTTTGGGATTGACTTTGACATAAAATGGAGAAGGACAAACAAACTTTTGGCTTCCAAAAGAGAGAAGGGAAACTGGCTTTTTCATACCTAAAGTATGAAGATATGTTATTTTTTATACCTGAATGATACAATAGTGTTAAAATATGCACTAAGTTATTGAAAATTCAAAATCCCTACCTAATTTTTCATTTGTGCTAAATATACTTTAGACTAAATAGTGTTATCAAACCAAAAAAAAAATCTATATGAAATTCGGGAATGAGATAGTACAGATCATAAAATTAAATTTACTTCATTTTAAAGAAAATCATATACACTACATACTATTTTGTTTCGTTTTTATTGAGAAAACGGCTTATTCATGTTTTAACCATATGAAATAGTACTGATTAGTACCTGTACAATTAAATTGTGCTCAAACATGCTCGGTTTAATAGCTTAATTTTAAGATTAGAGGTGCACAGTTTTAACTCCTCGAACGTGCATAATTTGTTTTTTATCATATGGCAGCTGATTCAATTCCGTTAAAAATTTGACGGTATTGACAACAAAAAAACGAATGAATGCATGTTTTAATCCAAAAAATTAAGTTCAAATATAAATTTTGAAATTTTCAATTCAAACATGTTTAAGCATAGTTTAGTTTTACAGACATTAATCGGTACGATTTCACATGGTTGAGATATGAATAAGCCGCTTTCCCGTTTCTGTTTAATCTCATATATCATTCTTAAACACCATGACTCTAAAGGTTGTTGGAGTTTATTCTCATATGTAACAGGAACTTAGCAACATAATCGGCATGACAAGCCAAGTGATTTTATTCACTATACTCTCTAAAATCACAGAATAAAAAAATTGACCCATAATTCAATTTGCTTATACAAAACTAACTTCTTCTGTTCGGAAGAAACCCATCCTTGGCCATTTCAGCCAGCACATCAAGAACCACATCCATATTCCCTTCTCTGTGATTGATTTCCACAAGCACTTTAGCTTGCTCTGCTTCACTCAATTCACAGCTTCTTAATACATTGTCAATAACACAATTCAATTCATCAACCATACCTTCCCTGTGTAATGCTTTAACCAGAGCAATAACTGTCACAGTATGGAGAAGAAACCCGGATTTCATCATCTCCCTGTATAGACCAAATGCTTTGCGTACATCTCCGCCTCTGCAATGACCATGGATCATAACGTTATACGCCGTTCCATCTGGTTCATGGTTTTTCTCAAGCATGGATTCGAAAACTCGATCAGCTTCGAGCATCATCCCTTTCATACAGAATCCTTTGATAAGAGATACCACGCTTTTAAACTCGATGTTACTGCAGTTTTCGATGAGTGTTTGATACGTGACATCGCTAGGGACTGATTCTTCGTAAAACAGCTTGAGCAAAAGCCGTTTCGCTTCTCTTGTTCGAGCTTGTTTGTTAAGCCCGTTGATAAGCACGCTATAAGTGACAACATCAGGCAATAACCCCTTCTCTACCATTTCGTTGTGCAAGTGAAACGCTTTTTCCAAATTACCTTCTACGCAATGAGCGTTGATCAAGGCTGTGTAAGTAAACTCATCAGGTGGAAGGCCAAGTCTCAGCATTTCATCGAAAATATCACAAGCTTCCTTTGTCCTTCTCTGCTCACAAAACCCTTGGATTAATGATGAGTAGGTGATTGTATCAGGTTCAATCCCTTTTTCAACCATTTCCCTCTTCACTCTAAGTGCTTCATCTACATCGTAACTCCTACAAAAACCAGATAACACCGTGCTGTAACTCACCACGTCTGGAGTCAGACCTTTCTCCTTGATATCTTCAAGAACTGATATCGCATCTTCCATTTTCCCGGCGACACAGTGTCCGTTAATCAGAGCGTTATAAGTCACGATCGACGGAGAAAACCCATGATCAACCATCTCTTTCAATACCCTATAAGCTTCATTCATATACCCCTTTTGAGAAAACCCATCAACCAACGTCGTGTAAGTACGCTCATTCGGGCAAAGCCCTCTAACACGCATCTGATCAAGAAATTCGACAGCCCTGTTCATGTTCCCGGCCTTACACATGCTATGTATCAGCGAAGTATAAGTGATGACACTAGGAGACAAACCATGACGCAGCATCTCGGCGTGCAAGACAAGAGCTTGGTGAAAGTTCCCTTCTTTACAATACCCTTTGATAAGTGTGTTGTAAGTGACTTCATCAAGTGAGAATCCTTTCTTGTTCATCTCCGTAAGAACCAAGCTCGTCTCCTTCATCCTCCCTTCTCTACACAACCCGTTGATGACGACATTGTAAGAGATCAAATTAGGCTCCAAACCCTTTAACGCCATTGATCTCATAAGCTCAAACCCATCGTCGATCTTACGCAGCTTACAGTACCCATCGATTAAAGTGTTGTAAGTGACGACATTAGGCAAACAACCTTTATTCTCCATTCGATCGATAAGCTGCAGAGCAACATCTATATTCCCAGCAAAGCAAAACCCTCTAATCAAGATATTGTAAGTGAACACATTCGGAGAAACCTGGCTTTCAAGCATCTCCTTGAACACATTCTCAGCGAAGCTAATGTTTCTCTTAGATCTAATCGTAGCATCTAAAACCGCGTTGTAAGACAAAACCCCAGGCATAAAGCCATGAGATTGAGCGAGATGGATAATACTCAAAGCCTTATCGATCAAACACAAACGAGAGTAAGATTTCACTACCAAATCGAAAACAGAGGAAGTGGAATCGCACGAATCGTAGGTTTCCTGTAGTGATCGGAAGACCAAGGAAGCATCTTCGTCGTCTAGGGTTTTCGCGGCGACATCCTCCGCGAGGGTTTGAGCGGTTTTGTAGAGCTTGAATCTGGTGAGGATGTGGAGAGTGATACATTTGCAACGGAGGGTGAAGAATTGATGAGGTTTCGCCCAATTTAGGAACTTGAGGATCAGTTCCTGATCGTTCTGAGATCTGAGGAGAAGATTCGAGGCTGCGTCTGGGGTGAAATCTGCAGAGAGATATGGGAGTTGGTAAGGATGACGCCTAAGGATGGTTAAAGCTTTATCGGCGAGAAGAGAGTCTGAAGGAGAAGAAGCGAAGCTGGAGAGGGATCGTCGGATTAGGGTTTTAGAGAGAATCATTTAAGAGGTTAATTTAGGGGTTTAGGGAGGAGAAAGGCTAAAAAGAAAATGAAGAAGACGATGCGCAATTGATCTCAGCCGTCCGATCTTTCATCTGTGGCTTATCTGAAATTAATTAACCTGGTTTATTTTTTGTATTTTACTTAACGAAGAATGTAAGGTTTGCATTGCCGTTACATATAGTAAATTCGGTTGTTGAGTTTCTTAAGAATTTAAAAATGATGCTTATAAAATATTTCTCTTAATCAAAATGCTAATGAAATTTTGTGAATAGAATGTAAACTTTTTTTTGTTGGCGTTATATTTATAGATTACTGTTAAGACTTTTTTTAGTTTCTTTAATAGGAAAATAAATATATATTTATATATTCGTTCATTTTATAGAACAATATTTATATAACTTTTGTTCTATAATAAAAAAATGTTATATATTTAAATATATATTTTTGGAACTCTTCATTACATATTTTTTTTTCTGAATCTGATAACTTTCGTTGAGTTTTCCTAAATTTTTTATATAAAAAATGTTCTATAAAATGAACGAATTATATAAATATGTATTTATTTTAAATATTTAAATATTTACAGAACATTTTATATTACATTATTGTCTTTTGTTTTGTTAAATATATCACAAGAGTTCCAAAAACTCATATGCATCAATGAAGATATAAAACAAAAGACAATAATGTAGCAAAACAAATTGCACTACATAACTTTTTCTCTTCATGGATCTATAAGATACTTAGACGGTTAGACCCCAATATTCACAAGAGAAATAAATCACCCAAACAAATTGCTTTAATTCCCTATTTGTTTTTCTTACAAAAGCAGCTTTTTCTTACAAAAAAATGTAACAGAAAAAAATATAATATTAAAAGAAAATTGAAAACAATAAAACAATATACAGTACATAGATGTAGTAAAGCGTGGGGGAATAAATAGAGAATTAATGTTGGAACAAGTCAAAAACTTTGTCAGAGAACTGAAACTGTTCTTAAGAGAGCAACCATGAAAGATGTGTGTGCGTGTGTGGCTTTTCTTTCTTTTCTCCATTTCTCTCTCTCTCGCTCTCTTCACAGTACACTCTCTTCTTCTTCTTTCTTCTCTCTCCTCAGGTTTCCATTTTTAGAAACCAAAGATCTTTATACGATAAGCAGAGCCATCACCGAATATCATACATATATGTATGTATATGGGACATGGTTTTGGGGAAAAACAACTTGAAGAAGACTCTTATGGTTTTCCCCAAAATACCCTTGTGACGTCTTACATTGCAGAGTACACCATTTAATGGGTTTGGAGAAAACAATGCATCATTGAGAGAGGTGTGTAGTACTAAATAAAAGAAGAAGGATGCATCAAGAGAGCAAGAATAAGAAGAAGAAGAAACAGAGCTTCTCTAAGGTTTGTAGTAGAGGTCATTGGAAACCTTCAGAGGATTTTAAGCTTCAAGAGCTTGTGGCGGTTTTCGGTCCTCAGAACTGGAACCACATTGCAGAGAAGATGCAAGGAAGAACAGGTTTACAAAACTATCTCTTTCTTTTTCTTTTACTCTGTTTTGGGGATTTCTCAGAAATGTTGAAAAGCTTTTTCTTGTTTTTGTGTGTTTGAAGGGAAGAGTTGCAGACTGAGGTGGTTTAACCAGCTGGATCCAAGGATTAACAAGAAAGCTTTCAGTGATGAGGAAGAAGAGAAGCTACTCGCAGCTCACAGAGAATTTGGTAACAAATGGTCTTTGATTGCTAAGCTTTTCCCTGGAAGAACAGACAATGCAGTGAAGAATCACTGGCACGTTCTCATGGCAAGAAAGTTGAGGAAACAATCATCTTCTTACTCGAGGTCGAGGAAGAGACACACTCCTTCTCCCGATGTAATAACCTCCCTGAATCTACAACAAACCTTCAATCTGTTCCCTGGTTTGTGTCTCCTTAAACTGTTTCCTTATATCTTCAGTACTTAGGATGTTTAACTCTTCTGAATAGTAGTGTCTCTGATTCAAATTTCTTCCAACAGTTTTAGAATACCACAAAGTAAACCAAGTTCCATAGGTTGATTTGATGCAGGAAATTCTGAATTTTTCATGTTTTTTTTTGGTTGTGTGGTTTAAAGGTAGTGTAAGTGAGGAAAGTACAGAGTTCAAGAACTACAGCTGGAAGATGCTAAAAGAGGAAACTACTAACCACAAAGCTCAAGAAGACTATTGCTCGAGTCATCATCATCATCATTTCTCTACCTTCCCTGCAGATTCCTTGGCACTACTCACACCACATGTCTCAATCTCTCAACCATCATCATCATCACCGTCCTCATCACTGTCATCATCAGAAGCAGAAAATACAATGGTGGCCAGATATTATGAGATTACTAAACCCCCAAGGTTTATTGATTTTCTCGGAGTAGGAGCTTCTTAAAGGAAAACAAAAGAAGAAACTCAATTAAGAATCTTCATTATTGTAACCTTAATCTCTGAAGCATTTAACACAACAAGGTTGCATTTGTACAAGAAAATCAAGAATTTGTTCCTCTATTTTTTCGAATTTTCGGTTTCAGAAGATTAAATTACCAGCACACGTTTATTGCAAGAATTCTCTGAGCTCCACTCTAGAAACTGAATCTTTAAGTATAAAGACTTAAACAGCTTGAGCAATACTCTCACTCCGAGTTGTGTTTGCCACTGCTTCTTTAAGCTCATCCATTGTGAGGAGTCTAGTGTTTTCTAAGTGCTCTCTACAAGAATCATCGATCTCATCCAAGTTAAGTTCCTTCAACGTGAATCTTGTTCTCACCGCCTCTATGGTCTTCTCTATAAAAACCGATCTTTCAATATAATCCTTCATTCTACATATGAAATCTGTGTGATCTCTTTCCTGCAATACTCCGATATCAAATAATCTAAATTGCACACCGAATCATTTATACCGAAACGAAAATTAGAAATCTTACAAGCCGGTACTTAGGCACTCTTGAAGGCAGCTTAAGGTAAGCCATGTTACTCTCACTATAGTCCCATAGAAACGACGTATGATGAATCCATCTATTCCTCGTTATCGACTGAGCATTTCCACCAAATTTACGATCACCAAAAACATAATCTGAAATTTCATAATACAAAAAAGTAAACTTTCAAAATGTGTCAACACAAGAAACACACACAAACAACAAACAAGAAAGAACATTCATCAGATTTCCGCAGACAAACCGTTTTCACGAAGCTGAAAATCGCCAATCCCGTTAAACACATCACTATACAACGAACCGCTCCAAGCCATCACAGAACGTGGATAAGGCTGAACATGTGGAACATCATCTCTATTGCAAATCAAACTCACAAAGAGAGTGTTTTTATCAACAATCACAGTTCCTCCTCCAGAGAACCGCTTAATAACCGGAATCTGATCTCTTATAACAGGTTCAAGCTCAACAAGTTCACATGGCTTCCTGTGTAAAAGATTAAAACTTTCACATACTCAAAATCACAAACCACAAATGTAGGATTTTAACTAAAGCATACTGTGAAAAGATCAAAACTTCACATTCTCAAAAAGACAAAAACAACATCTTTCGCAATGATTGTAACTACAATGTAAGATTTTTAACCAAACCATTCTGTGTAAAGATTAAAGCTTTCTTACCCAGACATACCCATGACAATGTTAGGTGAGTTGGTTCCATCGTTAATGATACACCAATTTTCAGAAGAAGATCTAAGAAGCCTTTCTTCTAGAAGCAATTGCTGCAAAATCGGTGTTCCTCTAAGCTTAACGAGATTAATTAATGGAAGCCCTAAATCCTTGATTCTATTTACACTCATCCTTTACCCTTTCGAGAAAACCCTAAATTTCTCGGCAATTAAGCTCCAATCTTGCGAGGATTATAGAGAAGAAGTACAAAGATCGAGAGAGGTGAGAATCAAAGAATCTTCTTTGATTATGTTTGTTCAACCCAAGTTAAACCGAAATCATACCGGAAATCTGATTTCCGGTCTAACCAAATCGAAATTAAATTAACCAAACCGACTTGAGCTAATGTAGAGAGACTATAGAGAGATACAGAGCTTCTTCTTCCCCGTTAAAGTTTAAACCTTTGAGCCGCGCTTGGTGCTTTCGGACAAGGAACAAATTTTGGCGCCATGTCCGCCTTGTCTGTGATCGAACGAAGAATGGGAAGGTGGGATAAGATTGCGTCTTTATTACCCAAAACAATCGAAACTCTTCCACGGATTGATCACGTTAACATGCTCTTGAAAGACTGTGCTAAATCAAGTTATCTGAGGACTGGCGAATCGATTCACGCTCATCTTATCGTTAGGAACCAATCGTCTCGAGCTGAGGACATTTATCAGATCAATTCCCTGATCAATTTCTATGTAAAGTGCGGGAAAACCGTTCGTGCACGCAAGCTGTTCGATGCAATGCCTGACAGAGATGTGGTTTCTTGGTCTGCGTTGATGAAAGGTTATCAAGATTCTGGGTTTGATTTGGAAGTTTTGAAACTGTTCAAAAGTATGGTTTTTTCTGGTGAGACGGAGCCCAATGAGTACGTAGCCACTACAGTTTTCAAGTCTTGTTCAAGCTCTGGGAGAATCGAAGAAGGTAAGCAGTGTCATGGTTTTTTCCTTAGGTATGGTTTGATGTCTCATGAGTTTGTACGGAACACTCTTGTCTACATGTATTCTTCATGTTCCGGCACAGGAGAAGCTATCCGGATTTTGGATGATCTTCCGTATTGTGATCTTCTTGTTTTGAATTCGGCTCTTAGTGGGTATTTAGAGTCTGGTGCTTTAAAAGAAGGGTTTTATGTGTTGAGACGGATGATTAACGAGGATTTGGTGTGGGACAGCTTCACGTACACGTCTTCTTTAAAGCTTTGCACTAATCTCAGAGATTTGGAATTGGCTCGGCAGATTCATAGCCGAATTGTAAGGCTTTTTTTGGAAAGCAATGTTGATGTAAGTGGTGCACTCATTAACATGTATGGAAAATGTGGTAAAGTAGTATATGCTCAGAGAGTTTACGACAAGACACACTCTCAAAACATTGTCTTGAACACATCGATCATGGATGCTTACTTCCAGAATAAGTTTTTTGAAGAGGCTCTGAATCTGTTTGCAAAGATGGGAACTAAAAAGATTCCCCCTAATGAGTTCACGTTTGCTGTTTTGTTAAACTCGATCGCAGAGTTATCCCTTCTAAAACACGGCGATCTTCTACTTGGGGTTGTTGTGAAATCTGGTTTTAGGAACCATGTCATGGTTGGTAATGCATTGGTTAACATGTACGCCAAAAGTGGCAGCATTGAGGATGCGTGGAAAGCATTCTCAGGCATGGCTTTTAGGGACATAGTTACTTGGAACATAATGATATGTGGATTCTCACATCATGGACTTGGGAAGGAAGCGCTTGAAGCCTTTGACGAAATGATGATTGCAGGAGAGTTCCCAAACCACATAACTTTTATCGGCGTTCTACATGCTTGTAGCCATATTGGTTTTGTGGAGCAAGGTCATTACTTCTTTACCCATTTAATGAACCAATTTGGTGTTCAGCCTGATCTACGGCATTATACATGCATTGTTGGACTTTTGAGCAAGGCTGGATTGTTCGAGGAGGTTGAGAATTTCATGAGAACAGCTCCAGTTGAATGGGATGTTGTTGCATGGAGAGCTTTGCTAAATGCTTGTTATGTTCGCCGGAATTACAGTTTAGGAAAACGGGTCGCTGAATTTGCCATTGAGAGGCATCCAAACGATTCAGGAATTTACATATTGTTATCCAATATTCATGCCAAGTCAAAGGAGTGGGGAGGCGTGGCAAAAGTGCGTACTTTGATGAAGGAAAGGCGAGTTAAGAAGGAGCCTGGAGTAAGCTGGATAGGTATACGGAATCAAACCCATGTGTTTCTTTCAGAGGATAATCAACATCCCGAGATTATGCTGATTTATGCAAAGGTGAAGGAGGTTTTGTCAAAGATTAGGACATTAGGGTATTCAGCTGATGTTGCTGGAGTTTTCCATGACGTAGATGAAGAACAAAGAGAAAACAGCCTCTCTTACCATAGCGAGAAGCTAGCTGTGGCATATGGTCTGATGAAAACGCCCGAGAACTCACCATTGTACGTGACTAAAAACGTGAGGATATGTGATGATTGTCACGCTGCGATCAAGCTTATCTCGAGGCTCTCAAACCGATTAATAGTTGTCAGAGATTCCAATCGGTTCCATCATTTCCAAGATGGTCACTGTTCTTGTTGTGATTACTGGTGAAGATTTAAACCGGAAGTTAGAACCTCGTGGAAAGATAACTAGTGCTATTGCCTACTGCCGCCTCAGGCGCTCTGATTATCGTAAGTAGTAGAGTTCCTTAGTGTAAATAGTGTATTAACAGTTCTTTTTTTTCTTGGATTTCAGGCTTAGGCCTCTTCAAAAAACACGTTTTGATAGATTATTCATGTCTGTGACAGTAATTTATGATCTCATTGGTTTTGTGGTTTATAGGAGCTTTTGATATTAAAGTTTATGATAATTTTTTTTACAAGATAGGTGACGAGACAACCATATTAACAGATGCAATCTCAAAAGCAAAGAACGAAGGCAAGAAGAAAAGAAGTGCAGAAAGTTGATAAGATTGTTACTTCAGGAAATAAGATTTCAGCAGAAGTTGTTCTCCATGAACTTCACAAATCCATGGAAATCGATTCTTCCATCTTTATTTCCATCGAATGATCCGATCATTCTCCTGCAATTATCAAGGTTAGATCCTTGCCTTAAGCCAAGGATGGTCAAAACTCTCTGCAAATCTATAGGATCGATAAACCCATCTCTGTTTTCATCAAAGACATCAAAAGCTTGCTTCACTTCCTCCAAGCTTGGCTCTTTCTCTTCAAACAGATTCGAAAGCTCCTCGGAACTGTACCTTTGTTGAAGTCCCTCGCTTTCTTGGTCGGTGAAAAGTCCTAACCTTTTCATCACCATTTCTGCATCTTCTCTGCAAAGACCATCATCATCATCATATTCTTCATGTTTGATCGAACTCTGGAACTCGACATCTTTGCTCTTCTTCTCGGAAACACATAGCTGCTGGTGTTGTAAAAGAGGCCAAAATCTGAGGAAAAAGATCTGAGCAAAAGAAACCCATTTGAAAAAACTGATGAGGAGGAAATCGATCAGGCCAAACAAAGGGAAAGAAGAAGAAGAAGAACAAGAAGAAGAGTGTTTGCATTCAGACAAGGAACTCTTCTCCATGGTTATAAGACAGTATAAGTGGGCTACAGTCATAACTATTTTTGTTAGTTTTTTTTTTTCTTTTTCAAAAGTTAACTTAGCAAATGAATGAAATATATGTTTTGGAGAAGATGTGAGAGGTATGAGATTGTTTCATGGCTATATATAAATGCATGATGAACAAGTCAATGTAGACAAAATTTTGGTGGAGAGGCAAAAGTGAGGAAGGTGCAGTTGGAAGAAGAGAGCAGGAAGGAAAGGGAAAGAGGAAACTTACAAAAAAAAAAAAAAAAAAGAGGAAACTTACAAAGAAACTTAGTCTAAGAAAGAAAAAAATAAGATAAGAGGAAATTTCTTATGCACCATTTATGGGAGTTGTTTTTTTGTATTCATTTGAGGGTAAGTTTGGTCCGTTTACTATTTTTAATTTATTTAACAGTATTTTATGCTTCTTTTTTGGGCAACAATCGTATTTTATACTCTTTTTTTTGGGCAACAATTGTATTTTATAAATAATTCTTTTGTTGGCAACAATTTTATTTTATATCTATGATTGTTAACAGGGATGTCACGTCTGGCTTCATCGTGTTCCGACAGTGTGATTCAGTTCAATTATAAAACTACTATTTAAGCAGAAATTTAGAAGAAACAAAAATTTGCCGAAATTTAGACATCTTATATAAACGAAACTAAAAAAATTAAAATCAAAAGGGACAAAACAAAAACAGGTGTTATCTAATCATGGATTTAATATAATTTAATTCTAAACAGGTGTTATCTCAATTGTTTGTATACAAAGAATGGCCGGCCAATATATCTAACTTGGATAGTTCAAAATTTTCAGATAGCCTCCTTATTCGATTTGAAATATGCGCTTTCACGCTGTTATTTACTCGTTGGACTTTTTGTAATCTGATATTTAAAAATTATGCTCCAAAGTTTTTAACTATGGTGTTATTCAACTAAAACTTTAAATCCGGTATTATTCAAAACTAAAAAAAAACTTAAAAATAATTGTATATAAAATCATTTGAATGAATTTCATAATTACTGTATGTTAGAGATAAATTCAATCATTTTTATATGGACGAATCGTGTGCTTGCACGTGGTGTCTGGTTTCCTAAACTAAATTATAAGGTCCAATACGATTTAAGCTTATAGCATTGGGCCTCGAATCCATTCGGATTTGGGAGATCCGGCACGATAAGCCTCCTGTTCTTAGTTTTCTCGTATCTGTTAGTGCAGACCACACTGTTGGAAACAAAGAAGTCGGAAACTGAGTGGTCAGGAGGAGGAGATGCCACATTCTCTATATCCTAGACGTATGCTCAGTGATCTGGAATGGTCAGAATATAAAGAAGTGTGGTCAGTACATATACCCGAGAGCGAAGTCATTCATCCTCAACAGCCTAGTCCCAGTATCGAGGGAACCGAATTAGGTATGATAGACCTTTTAGGCGGAAACACTATTCAAATTTCCCTCCATTCGACAATATGAATTTGTTTTAGTCTGATTTGATTACCCATATCCTTACAAACTAACGAGATTGACATCTTCTTTATGTGTGTCAGGTGACAGTGACCTTTTGCTGGAGACAGGAGGAAAAATAGAGGTTCAACAAAGACCCATACCGCGTCTGAACCGCCGACCCGACTCGTACACTGAAGACAAAAAGAACGTGCCAAAGAACGATCTTATAGCAGGCAGAACATGCCAAAGAAAGTTGGTGAGACTGCCAGAAGCATGATGCCCTCACAAGATTTGAGCCCAATCAAGTCGGTCGTGGGCCAATCCACCCGACTCACTATTCGCGGATCAACCCGGTATGCTAATCTAGGTCAGATACTCTTTATAAATACTTTGCTTTTTCCTACACGAAGGAGTTCACATCTTTTTCAGCCATCTCAAGTCTCACGATATCTCTCTAGATACTTGTGGTTCTTATGTGAAGGCACTCAATACTTTTCCGACCATCTTTTCCGGTCATTCCTCTTCGCATCACCTCCATGACGGTTCCTAAACCGTGGAATATTTCACCCAAAAACTCTTCTTTTTCTTTTTATTTCCACAGCAAAAAGCTCATTTCCTTCCAAAGGCCCGAGCAGATCCTACATTTTTCAAAGATTCTCAGCCCATTTTTCTTTTATAGTTTTTTGACTTCTTTATGTTTTTCGGTTAACCATTTGGTGGTCTTTTGAGCTGTTTTCTGAATTGAACGTCGGAGAGTCTTCGGAAAACACACCTCCATCGTGTTTTCCAGACTTTCACGTTTTTTCTGTTTAGCTGGAGTTTGCCCTTTCTCGAAAACTGAAAATTTCCTAAACAGTGTACATCATTTTTTAAAACCTAAAATATAACAAAAAATATTAAAGAATCCACACAAATAAAATTTAAATTTTTTATAAAATTCTTAAATTCATACTTAAATAACTAACTTTAAATTTGATATTGAATATGGTCTTAAATTGGAATATATAGAGCAATTTAATATAACATTCATAAATCGTCCACTTTCAACTTACAATGGTTATTAGGTGACGCCAACCAAATCAAAATGCGACAAAAGCTTTCAATAGTATCAAAACATCCTTTCGTAAACCTAAAAATCCAATACTAAAATTTAATAATACTAATTTTTTTCTAGTACATAAAATTAACCGGTTTTGTATTTTATCAACCAAAGACTCAGTCTTGACACATCAAAATTTATAGATTATAATATGTAGATAATTAACTTTAAATCTCTTATTGACTATGGCCGTAAACTGAGAAATACTGTATAAAGCTGTTGAAAGACTCTAAAGATAGCTAATTTCCACAATTTAATACTGAAAAGTAGAAAGCAATTAAACTACTGGTTATTTGTTTTCTTACCATGATCCGTGACTTGTTTGACTAAACTCCAAAGTGATTAATGATGACTAATTCATGTTCCTACTTATTGGGGACATGAAAAAAAAGGAACACGCGAATTAATGTCACATTGCAACTAATTTCGTTAGTAATTTCCTGGACAATGGAAGTGAACAAACAAGATAGTGAGTGCCAAAGGCTTTCTTTTTCTTTTTGGCGTTTTTCACAAACTTTATTATTTTCTCAAATCAATATGGTCTTTCATTGGTTGTTTTGGTCAATATGAACTAATCTTCTATCTGGCTGACTCTGTCAAAGTGTCAATCCAAATCAGTGTGGGTTCTTTTTCATATTATACTTTAATCCTAGGTTATACAACACATTTGTTCTCTACAAATTTTTCCAAACGTAATGTTTGGATTGGTTCCCCTTGAAAAATACTTTTTCTAGTTTCAATAGAAATGTCGATTTGCATTTTATGTGAGTTAAGAAAGAAATTAAATATATTGTTATGGTTTTTTAAGAATATGTGAAAAAATTAGATGAAATTTTTGAAAATGATATTTGTTTAACAACTTTTAAAACAATATTGAAAATGAATTGGATGAAGTAATTAGTAGCAACAAGAAGAACAATATTCATCGAATTGTTTCTAAATTGTATCCTCTAGCATCAAAACAATTGAATCAATATTGAAGTTTCTATAATATCAAAACACTTTTGGAAAAAGATTCTAAATTAGAAAACAATGTTCCTTTGAATCTTTCTGTGAACACTCAAAGTCCTGATCAACATGGATACCAGATTTTGGGATGTTTGATTAATCTATGAACAAACACAAAGTCATGATCGGCATATATTCGATTTAAGCTTACTAAACAAATCTTAATTTTAATGAAAAAATGGCAAATCTTTCAAGACCTTAAATTATTTTGCTGCAAGATTTATTTAACTACAGTTTCAGGGTTTTCCCTTTATGATACAACAAACTTTCACTCTGCAACCCAAAAACTAAACTTGTCCCTCACTATGTCAACCATATATATATAGAGCTAATAATATGTACAAAAAGGACTCACCTGCTTTCTTGGAACACAAGACTGAACCCAAAACAAATCAAATCATCTTCGTTTTCTATGAGCTTTCATGGAAGTTTGCTGACCTAGACAGAGCAGCCGGATTCGCTTGCAACTCCGGTCGTCTTCCCGGAAGTTTCCCTTCAGAAAGACAGCTTTTTTCTTTGTTTGGTGATCTGAAAGCTCCAAAAGTATCCGCCTTTTCGTCCTTTTTGATCCCTAATGTTTCCCATATCGAACTTTTAGCAGCTTCCTCTGGATCATCGACCCTCAGCGTCTTGGGAACCCAAAGGCATCTCTCCGGTTTGCTCTTCTCTCTACCAGGTGACTCTGTTTCTTCAAAACCGGTTCCTGGTTCAGCAGCGTTCTCGTCTCGTGAATGTTTACCAAGCGTTGGAGAATTTGGACCGGAACCAGAAGAAGGTGAATTTGGTTGTGGCATCCAAGTGAAGCTGTTCCATGTCCCCGGTGAAACTCCCCAGTAAGCAGGCGGAGGGTAAAACGGTACAACCGTCCACGAAACACCGTTCCAAGCGTAAGGCCAAGTTGGTGGTGGTCCTGGAACGCATGGAATTTTTGGCAATGAGCTGATTGTTCCAATCTCCTCGTTTGATGGGTTTATAGGAACTGTAATCTTTAAGCCTCCTTCATTAGGTTCTTGCAATACGGTTTGTGTCTTCATCATTGACTTGTCAGCAAGATTCAATCCTGAAGCCATGGATTCACATATGACTGAATCAGAGCCAAAAGTGAGGAGATTTGTACCATTAGGATGTTGAAGATCGGTTCTTATCGCCGCCTTCTGCATAGTAGCTTCCGCAGATGTTACGCTTACGTGACGGTTATAATGAGAAGCAGGGTTCTTGTTCTTGCGTCTCCCTGCACCAACCGGAACATTCCTCATGGTTCCTCCAGCTGTCCAATATCTCTGACATTTCTTGCAGAAATGGCGAGGTTGGTTAACGTTGTAGTTGTTGTAGTAACAGAACTTGGTCTCCATGCTGTTACATCGCGGGCAAGGGAGAATCTTGTCTGGTTTCTTTAGCTTCGTCTCTTGAGAGCAAGTCCCGTTCTGTGACGACTCTTCTTCTGTCTTTGCAGCTTTTGTTGTTTCTGTTTTCTCTGTAATACCAGATGTTGTAGCAACGTTACTAGACTCATCCCTCAATGACTCTTCTTCTCTGTGCTCTTCTTGGCACTCGTTATCTTTTTCTTCCTAAGATAGACATAAAAATTTGATCAAAAAAGTTACATTAGTGTATGTTCTGTATCCTAATCAAACAAACTGCAAACCAAAGCTAAAAGGAGCAGAGAAACAACTAACAAATGTATCAGAATCACAGTGAAACTAGATTGATAATGTTTCGAGAAAATCAGAACACTGATTATGGAGCTTTCCAGAGATCCAGTTACAGATTTAATGAAATACTAATAACAATTTCAAAGCTATCAGAAAAGCTAACAATTTTAATGAGTAAAAACGGCGTAAAGCTCTAAAAGTTCTTCAGCAAATCAAATATCGAGAACTTAAAATTTGATGAAAGAACCAAAACAATCGCCATCCAAACCTAATGAAACTGATTGAGATCTCAAATCACTTGAATCATTTGAAAATCCGGATTTACTATTTTTTGAAAAAAAAAAAAATCCCTAAAAGCGATTGAAACCTAAGTTCAACATAAACACACCAAACAAGATTTGCTTTTTATTATAAGAAACTATGATTTTAATGAATCTAACATGAACCCATCGGTCATTTCCGTGTAATAAATCATGGGTCTTCTTCAAAATCGATAAACAAATTCACAAAATCCAAAAAAACCTTACCTTTTCACTCTCGCTATCTCTACCGCGAAAACCACCGTCATCTCCTCCTCCTCCTGCTAAACCGGAATCACCCATCCCTTCATCATCTCCGGTACACGAATCTGATAACCGAACAAGATTCTGGTCTTGATGTTCGGTTGAAACTCCGGTATAGCTGATAGAAGAATCTCCACCAAGCTCCGGCAAAGGAATCGTCTTCCCAAATAGCTTAATCGCCGGATCAGACATCAAGTTTTTTGTTTTGTTTTTTGTTATGCCTCACTTCTTGTTCTTCTTCTTTCTCACCAGCGAGAAAAAAGCGGAAACTTTTGAGAAGACAGAGAAAAAAGCTACAATCTTTTTTTTTTAAAAAAGAGAAAGAGAGAGAGAGAGGAAACGACTGTCTTGTTTTCGGTGGTTGTCTGAGTTTTTCTCTCTTTGTTTCTGTGTTTCTCGATTTGTTAATTTGGATTTTTTTTTTTTTGCAATCCTTATTTTTTTGTCTTTGCGAGAAAAAAGATTACAGTTTTGCTGTGATCTCGCGAGTTGTACAACCTTTTGATTCGCCCAGAGTGCCACGTCATTACACGTGAGGATTCTCAGCCACAAGTTTTCTTTTTTTTTGGTTATTGTGGACTTTTTTTTACAAAAGGATCTCTTTTTCTTCTCTTTTTGGCTTTTTTATTTGTTTCCTTTTCAATCTGGTCAGCACTTTTTTTTCTTGTGGAAAGAATACACTTTTTTTTTACTTTTCTCTCATTTTCCTTTTTATATTTAAAAGTCCGTAAAACTCCAACTCCCTTTCTGAAAAATTCTAATAAATATTTGGTGAAATCTGGTTATAAGATAGCTTACCCATTTAATTAAAGAAGAAAAGGAAACAACCGTCATGTGGTTTATTAGGAATTGGAGATGGAGATTTGGAAGTTGAGGATTATACAAAATATATAACATTTCATTTAGAGAGCTATATCAGATGCACTCTTTACAGCATATAACGTTTTAAAACAAGATACGTTAGTATTGATTTCATATGTCAAGGGTGTTGTTTATCTAAAAAACAATTAAACATGTTTTGTGTGAATTGCAAAATGCCCAAGCAAATTTGAGATGCACAACAATTTGATCGCCTTATAGAGAGCCAGAAGACATGTTTTACATAATGTCCCCTTTGAAAGAGAAAATATGGAATTGACAACATGGAAGAAAGCATGGAAATAAGAAATGTACTGTATGGTATTATCAACCAAACCGTATCGTTATATGTGGCTATCAAATTCACAAAATATTTCCCGGGATTGATGATTGATCATATGTATCATTCTCATCTGAGAACCTCATAAACTAGCTATCAAGAGAAGACACTAGCCGTACCGACTAATAGTCTATATATCACTCTAGAATACAATGACCCGATATGTTCACATTCTGTAAAAGTATGATTATAAATCAACAACATTCTACACTTCATAGTTCATACTAAGAAACAAAATTGATTGTACATTCTACACTTTTTAGTGTGAAGGAGACTTATGTTCTATAAAGATTATATTTTTAAAATCGATTGCATTAATCAATATATATGAGGAAATTACATTAAAAAAAAAAGATGAAATGAAGAAAAAAGATTCGTAGGCAATTTCATGTAAAATCTATGTAATGAAAGGGCATGCAGTTTAATTTTATTTATAGTTTATACATATATAGATATAATATCAAAATGAGTTTTTTTTTTTCTGAATTATAAGCTATATATCATTTTTTAGGGAGAGTTTCAGATTTAACCCATATTTCAAAGTCAAACACAAAACTAACCTCTTTTTTTTCTCTCTCCAACTTTTGTCATTTTCTCACAATTTTATCCTTCCCACTTAAACTATTAACGAAAATGCCATTATACATCTAATAATTCGATTTTTCTTTAATTGGTTAAAGTCTTCTTAGACCTTCTAAAGACTTTTTAATTACGAGAATGTCATCGTCTTCAATACCTTCAACCACCATGAACAACCATGAAAATGGAATAAATGCTTATCAACCAATATTAAAGCTGTAATAAGTAAATATTTAAGCTCATTCACTCATAACCTTCCTCATTCTTTCATAATTTCTTCTCCAAAACATCCTGGGCTAAGTTACAATGCCAAAAGTCATGCATTTTCGGTGATTTCTGGTTACTTAACATCTGGGTTACTTATTTTTGGTGATATTCTGAGTTCTGGGTGCTTAAAAGAACTGTAGCCGAGCTCAATTTTGTAAAAGGTAATCGTCGCACTTCAATTTCTCCATATTTCAGTTTTCATATCGCGAAAGTAGACTTCTCGTGAAGTATACTGAAGTCTACTAGTCAACATAAGGTTATTTTTGCAATTGACTTTTTAAAAGTAGACTTCGTTAAACTTCACGAGAAGTCTACTCGACATCCTTTGAAAACAAAAAAACCTTAGTAGGCTTCGTTTGAAGGCTCAAAAAGTCTACTAAAGAAAAGAGGTTATTTTTGTAGTTGACCGTATTTTGACTTTTTGATTTAGACTTCCCTATGAAGTCTACTGCTTACGTCTGCATACGAAGTCTACTTTAAAGTTACTTTTGTAGTTTGACCAAAAACGTATAGGTCATTTTAGTGTTTGAATTCTGTTTTTCAAAAATTAAAAAATTTAAAAAATCCCAAAAAACTTCAGTAGACTTCCCAAAGAAGTCTACAGTTTGTAGACTTCTTTGTGAAGTCTACTTATTGTGTTCGGTCAAACTTGGAAGGAATCTTTTTTTGAGTAGACTTCATCGTGAAGTCTACTAAAAAAATTCAATTGCAAAAACAACCTATTTTGTTCCGTAGACTTCTATTTAAAAAGTAGACTTCAAAAGTAGACTGCCAGAGAAGTCTACTCTTACATGAAGTCTACAATAAAAATCTACTAAGTTAGTCAACGCATTGGTCAATTGCTAAAGTAACATTTTTTGCCTAAAGTCTACTCTTGAAGTCTACTGAAGGAAAAGTCAACAGATTGGTCAATTGCAAAAATGACCTTTTTTTAAGTAGACTTCATTAGTAGACTTCTCGATGAAAAAGTAGACTTCTCCTCCAGGCTACAATTGAAGTCTACTATAGAAGTCTACTTTCCCATGTTTTTTTTAAAACGTGTTTTAAGCAAATGTATAAACTATTTTTCAAATTTTTTGGTTCAGAACTGCTTCTTAGTAAGTGATTGAACTATCCATTGATTTTATTTCATTTCATTGGATATTTATTGTTGAATCACAAGTTTTGATTTTTTAGGTACTTAGCTTATCAAAGTAGACTTCTCCTCCAGTCTACATTCGAAGTCTGCTTTAGAAGTCTACTTTTGACGTTTTTTTTAAAACGCGTTTTAAGCAAATTTTTAAACTATTTTTCAAATTTTTTTGTTTAGAATTGCTTCTTAGTAAGTGATTGAACTACCCAGTGAATTTTATTTCATTTCATTGGATATTTATTGTTGAATCAGAAGTTTCGATTTTTTAGGTACTTAGTTTATCAAAGTAGACTTCGTCGTGTAGTCTACTAATGTTCTTTTATGTGGCTTTAGATATAATGTGTTGTCTTAGGTGATAAAAATACATAACATGACCAATACACTTATGCTTATTACAAATGATGACCAATAGATATTTCTATTGTTACTTACGTTTTTGCAATAATATGGTTCATAATTTTGTTTGCTAATATGGTTTTTTTGTGTTTTATCACAAAATATTGTTTATAGAGAATGATAGATGAGAACTTGTGTAAGTAATGCTTTTGTATTCTTGTTTGCAAGTTAACAGTTATAGTACACAAGTAATTAAAGTGACATAAGCTAATTTTAAAACATTATCTTGGACACATTTGAGTATTTTGTTATGTGCATTCAAGAGTTTCGATCATTTTTACAGCTTATTATCATCCCATCCTATGCCA